CCTCGAGCATCAAATGAAGCCCTTTAGCCCTTTAGGCCCCCGGGGGACCTGGGGATGTGCTGCTGTGAGCAGGATTCCATCTTTTCCAGGGAACATTTGGGAGGAGATGAAGGACGACAGCTTCAGCCTGGACACCCTGGGTGCCTTCAGCAACTCCCCCCTGCATCTCTCCGACTGCGAGCTGGGCACGCCCGGCCTCACGCCCGCGTCCAGCGGCAGCGACCGCTCCTTCTCCGACCTGCAGGTCACTGGCCTTTACACCACCTACACCACCCTGGACAATGTGGCAGCTGCTCAGTACATGAACCCCCAAGGCAACAAACCCATCCCTCTGCTCTGAGCTTGGCACCGTTCAGCACATCCCGAGGGACGGTTCTTCCCCGTTGTTAAAATCCGACCGGGAAGCTCCAAGGGCTTTGTCCTGCTTTGGGATGTGTTGGCTGCTTCCACAGCGTGTGAGGCCAAAATAAATCAAGCTGGGACTTGTGAAACCACTTTCCCCCATGGCAAGGGCATGGACACTTGTGTTGTGGGACTGGGGAGCTCTCCAGAAGGACCTGGAAGGCAGCAGGAACTTTCACTGGAATGTAACTGAGCTAAAAATCACCCAGTTAAGGGAGTTAAATTTATTCCACACCGTGGTGGAGCTGCTGTGTCACCACTGTCACAGAAGCCACCACAAGCCATGGGGCTGGCCAGCCCCAAGTTGGTTGATTGTGCCCCTGGCATGTCATTTCTTCTTAACTTGCCAAATTGGACAAAGACCTCCCCCAGTTCCTGGAGATGTTTGCACCACTAACACTTTTCTGATGTAACTGTTGTTAATTTATTGTTAGGAGGTAGGAAAAAAGGAGCAAAACCACTAAAAAAGGAAAACTCACCTCCCTAGCAGATCACTGTTATATCTAGATTTGTAAAAGTCCTCACCCCTGAAGGAAGTGGTACTACTGAACTATTAAACTGATCACTGGCTAGAGGATTTTAGGAATTATGCAGATGTTTAGGATTTTTTTAAAAAAATAGATTTATAGTCTTGTGTATTGTGCTTCTGTCTATTCTTGTGCTAGGCAGTATTACTATTTGTAAATTTATTTATATTTATTGTTATGAAAAGAAATTATGTGAACTGAGCACTGTTCAATTTGTATAATGCTGCAGTAACCTTTCTTACAGCCACTAAATTATTCATCATCAGAACCACAACCATCTTATCACAGTTTTTACACTACATTTCTTTAATAAGCACTTTTGATACTGTGAAACTCATGCTTTTTAAAAAAATTCAGAGACCAAATATTGTCACTGTACCTTTCATAATAGTCTTTGCTAATTAACTAAAAAACTTGATTCTAATGTAGCATTTTAAAAAAGAATTTCAAACCCTGCTTTGTACTTGTTAACATACATTGAAAATAATGTGATGAAATATCTGAAATATGTTGGAATTTAGCATTTAGTCTACTTATACCTCTGTGAGCAAAAAGTGATATTTATACCTTGGGTTTTGTCTGTTCCTGTGCATTCAGAGAATTTCCCGGTGCCGTACCCAGGTGCTCCCAGGCTTTTCTCTCCCACATCCATCCATGGATTAAAGCTGGAGGGTGCAGGATGCTGGAGTGGCCCCACAGGGCACTTTCTTGCTTGAAAAATATGAAGATCAGGGGACTTGGAAACATCTGTGCCTGTATCCTCCCAGTGCATCCCTCCATGGCAACCTCTTCCAAAGGGCACCATGATGCTCCACGTCATAATTTATTGTCCAAGGACAAATGTGATGAATGATCCTTTGCTGTGACTGGTGTCACCTACAATGTCTTTGCTTTTTTTAATAAACATTTCTTAGCACTATGCCTGGGGCATTCTGGATGTGCTGTGTGGTGCCTGCTCTGGTGTCATGCTGGGCTTCATTCCCTTTACAGACCCTATGCCCAAGCTGAAGGTGGATCCTTGGCTCAAATCCTCCAGGAGAGTAAGAGTTTATAGGTATTTAGTGTAAGAATTTACAGGTTTTTACTCTAAGCGTTTACAGGTATTACTCTAAGAGTTTACAGGTATTTAAGAGTTTACAGGTATTTACTCTCAGAGTTTTTCCCCTGTGGTGCCACCCTGTTCCTGAAACCCTCTGAAATGCCTGGAAAGGCTCTGGAGTGGGGACAGGGGGTGGCAGGAGGGATGTTCAGAGTTCCCCACCCCAAACAGGTCCTGTGCCACAGAGAAGGGGCTGCCCAGAGCCAGAGACACCAGGCCCAGCTCAGGACAATGACAGAAGACACAGAGGTCAGGGAGTTCTCTGGGAGCTGAGCTCACTTTATTGCCTGTCAGCAGTGACACTTCCAGCCAGGAAGTGACCCACAAGACCCTTCCCATCCCTAGCCCGGGACAGGGAGACTTCCTACAGACATTGTGGGATCCCATTTGTGTCCAACGCCTTCACCCAGGGCAATACCAGCACTGCACTTGAGCCAGGTGTCCCACCTTCCATTGCCATCCCACCTCCTCCTTATGAGCCCAAGGTAAATCTGTGCTGGGGAAATGACACAGCCAGAGGCATTGGAAAACTTCAAATTTCCCCTCCACAACCAAGATGATCAAAGGCTACCTGAGCAGAGGGTGCAGGTCCCAGCAGGTGACAGCTCCCCCTGGCTCTGCTGCTTCCAAGGAGGAACCAGGACACTGGAGCCATCCTCCCTCCTCTCCATGCTCTGCAGGAGCCAGAAAGGACACGAGATGGGTGAGAGGCACAGCCAGGTCAGCCAGAGCCTGATGGATCCTTGGACATTCCCAAGGGAGCAGCTCCCAGATTAGCTCACTGAGGTCTTTCCTGGACCATCAGCTATTCATGGCCACATTTATTGTTTGCCCCCCAGTGAGGGAAAGGATGACAGAAATTGCTCCTCACACTTTATAAAGCATCACTTGGAGGCTGCTTCTCATTTTCTGGTCTTGGTGCCTGGTCAGCTTGAACCCAGCCAGCTGGACACTGGCCCTGGCCAGGGGTCTGTGCCTCCAGCTCTGTCCAGTCTCATGAGATGTGTCTGACCTGGTGCTTGTTTGAAAGACCAAGGGCTGGCAACTAAAACAGGAAAATATTTTGGATTCTTTTTAAAACCAAGTTCTGCACCAGGTCCAGATTCCAGGCTTGGCTCAGGACAAGTTCATCTTCTGGCAGCACCCCCAGTGCCAGAGAGGACTGCATGGATGGCAAGACCATCTCCATGGCTTAAAATACTTAAAAGCACTGGTGTCCTTTATTTAGGCACATAAGCAAGAGTCGAAGGCTTCAGTTCAAGGGCTGAGGAGCCAGGTGGGCAAGTGAGGTCTGGCTGTGTCCTGGTGCTTCTCCTACCCTGTGGTCACTGTCCAGATCAGCAGGGATCATCATCAGTGTCCACCCTGGACAGGAGATGGGCGACCTTGGCCTTCTGTGGGCCGGTGATGTGCTGAGCCATCTGCACGATGCAGTCCATGGTCAGCTCAGGGTTGGCCTGGAGCAAGCTGCAAGGCACAGGGCAGAGAGAGACTAAAGTGAGAACTGCCTGGTCTCCACCACCTGCTGTTCCCATCCCAGGGACCCCTTCTCATCCCAGCTCCCACAGCACTCACCTCCGGATGTGCTTGAGGATGTAATCCCGCTTCAGGTACTTGATGTTCTGCCTGATGGCTGACTGGGTGCCATCCTCCTCCTGCATGTGCTTCTCCAGCCACTCCACCACCACCTGGTTGTTGTCCCAGAGGTAGCCCTGGAGAAAGCAGCACTGTGGGCAGGGGGTTCTGCTGCCTGCACAGCCTGAGCCCTCCCTTCCTCCTGGAGCTTCAAATCCAGGCCATGGGATTTTTCTTCCCTGACCTGCCCCTATTGGCAAACCACTTAAAAAGCAAAGAGGTAAAATATGGTTCCTTTGCATGTCCTGCTTCCTGAGGCAGGCACAGCAACATGTGTGTCATTTGAGAGCAGCTAAAAAACCCACTTTTGCCCTGGGAAGTAAAAAATGTTTATTTGTGGACTAATTTGCCATCACTGAGCACCAGCACTCAACTGGAGTCACCTGATTTGAAGAGCCAGCCCCAGCCCAGGGCTGCTTCACCGCCCATCCTCACACATTCCCATCACACACTGAAACAGCACTGAAACCTCTGAATGGTGGCAGAGCAAGGTGAGATCCCTCGGGATGCCCTGACTGGAGGTGCCTCAGGAGGCCGGGGCTGGGGGTACCTTCTCAGCTCCTTCCGTCTCCATGAACCAGCGCCGCAGCATGGACTGGATGTGGATGTGGGTGAGCTCGCTGTTGGCCTTCAGCACCTCCCCCTTCACCATCTCCTCCAGCAGCAGCCGCCGCAGCCGCCAGTAGAGGAAGGAGCGGGCGCTCTTCCACTCCAGGATGTCCTGGGGAAACCGGAGCACAGCCCGGGTTTGCGGGCGGCTGCTGGCTCCCGGCTCCGGCGGGATGGAGGGCAGAGGGCAGGGATGTCACAGGGGAGGGATTTTCCCCCCACCTTTGCCTGTCACCTCGGAGCCCCTCCCCGGTGCCCGGCTCACCGTGATGACCCCTTTCTCCTGCATGCGGCCCGGGGTGTCGTGCAGGTCTGCGAAGCGCACGGCCACCTGGTGGTACACGGGCAGCAGCAGCTCCTCCCGCGCCTTCAGCTGCTGCTCCAGCTGCTTGCGCTGCGCCTCCGACAGCTCGGGGGAGCCTGCGGGACACAGCGGGCTGAGCAGCCCCCCGGTGATGCCACCAGGGCGTCGCCTCTATGCTGCCACATCAGCCACCATGCCCAGTGCCACGCTCTTTCCTTGGCACACTGACACCAGAGTCATACAAGCCATGGCCACAAAGAGGTCACACCATACTCAGTGCCTGCTACATGAGAGGGGAGATGGCATTTGCAAGGACTTTGTGGGACCATGTTGTAGCAGGCTGGAGAGACGTGAGGGAAAAGAACTCCCAATGCATCAGGAATCAATTCAACGTGGCCATGGCCATCCTTCATCTCAAAGCAGGGGAGAAGACCCCAGCCCCATTTAACCCATTGACAGAGCCCCCAGGAGATACCAGGTATTCCAAAGTACCACCACATCCTCTCAGCTCCACCAACAGAAAAGACAAAATGAGTTTTCCCAGAAGGACACTAAAGGACTCCTGGTTGTTGCCAGCAAAGTGCTTGAGCCTCATGTTTAACCTACCACCACCAATGTCCACAACCCCAAACTCCCCTTCCTTACCCATCTGTTCAACAAGCTTGGCATAAACTGTATCAATCCTTCTTATGGTCTTCACCAGATCCTTCTTTCTGAACTTGATCTCCACTGTTCCTCCAGGCTCCAAAATGCCTCCCCTGGAAGGGAAGTTTGGTAAAGCAAGGACTGGTATGCATGGGAGAATAAATCTTAGGACAAGATGACACACACAGGTATTTTGGATGACCCACACAAGTGTTCAGGCTGCTGACCTGCTCTCCTTGTCAGCGTAGAGCTCCACGTGCAGGGGGTTGATGGTGGAGTCGATGACCACCCAGGAGCCGCCGCGCAGCTCGGCGTGAGGGGGGATGTACACCAGCACCGGCTGCTTGAAGTCCCGCAGGCTGTCCACGATGAAGGCGCCAAACTTCAGCATCTGGTCGTACATGTCTGAAAGCCAAAGGAACTCAGGGGCTGGGTGTCCCAATTGCCACTGTCCCAGCCTCCTCCCAGCTGCCCAAAGCCACCTTGTCTATTGGAGAGACAAAGCAGCCTGCAAAACCAGCCAGCAGGAAGCCACCAACCCCTGGGATCTCTGGCCTGTGAACCCCCATGACCTCCCCAGCCCAACCCAACCCTGCATTCCAGAGTGGTGCATGCCCTGGTAGGCTGGGCCATCCCAGGACCCTGTGGGGTGGCAGGGGTGACAGAGTTTTGTCACACACCATGGGAATGTGGGCATCCCAAGCACAGGTACCTTTCATGCCGCTGGAGAAGCCTCTCCAGTTGGCAAAGATCATCAGCGGGAGGTGCTCCCGGTTGAAGTCCCGAATGGCCTGGGCTGTTTTAAAAGCAGAGTCTGGGAACCAGACCTGTCCAGCCTGCTGGATTATCTGGAAAAGACAGTGAGCAGCTGAGACTGTGCCAGTTCTTCCTGGCATGCTGCATGAAACAGCAGGAAGAAAACAAACTGCCCCAGCAACCTTGATTTCACCCGAATTAAGGAAAATTATGCCCAAGGATCATGCTGAGCTATTACTCCTCCCTTCCCCCCAGTTCCTCTCAGATGCCACCTGGCTCCAGCTGTACCCCACTTACCTTTGCCTCTGAGTCCAGGTTGGCAGGGTCAGCAGGTATTGTCACCTCCACAGTGCGGGTCTCAACAGCGATGACACCCACGGGGAGACCTCCCAGCCTGTGGCAGGGCAAGGGGGGCTCAGCAAGGCCTGTTCCCCTCCACCCCAGCCCCACCAGAGAGCTGCTTCCTCTCCACCATCCCAAAAGCAGTGCCACAGACAGGCCTTGAAGGTGAGGGGCCACACATGCAGGATCCCAGCTCCATCCCCTGCTCCTGGCAGTACCTTGCTCTGCCAACCACCACGGTCTGAGCCCATGGCTTCATGATCTCCATGAAGCTGCCCTGGTCGAAGAAACCGCTCTGCCAGGTCCCTTTGAGAGCTGCAGAGCACAGGAAAACATGGAGTGGTGCAAGGGCAAGCACTGAAATGTTCCTGAGCACCAACCCACAGCCAAGAGCATCTTCTGCACCTACAGGATGCATTTGGGAGCAGTGCTGCAAAGGCCTTGGGTTGTTCTCACTTACTTGGATGGGGTCTCCCTGCCAGCATCCATCTGGGGTCATAGGGGACTTTGGAAGGGACAAAACCAATTTCTCTTTCAACAGGGTCAACTATGGCAGTGACAGGCACTGGGCTCTGGTTATCCTGCAAGGGAGACCCCGAGGGCAGGTCACCAGCCAGGTATGGGTGACATCCCCCTCCTTCCCCCCTGCAGCACCCTCCTACCTTGGGTATGTATGAGAGCCACTGCAGGATGGTGTAGACCCCCTCAAAGTCATCTGGGACAGTGACATGAGAAACACCGTTGTTGTGCATGATCTGCACTCCTCCCAGCTGGTTGTTGGATGTGTAAACCTCCCGTCCCAGCACCTAGAGAAACACATGGGGCTCTGCTGACACAGGAGCTGCTCCCTTGCTCTGTTTGTCAGCTCAAACCTCTGCACAGGCAAATTCCCTCTAGGCTGAGTCAGAATCTCCACCTCTATCCAGACTGATGTTCCATGGGACAGGGAAGGAGCACACACAGGTAGTGGTGAGAAGGACAGTGCCATGGAGGACATGCAGCCAGAGCTTGGTACCTTGTTGAGAGCTGTGACACCTGTGAGGATGATGTGGGAGTTCTCCACCTGGATGACACGCTGGCCCAGCCTCACCAGGTAGGCACCGATGCCGATGGCACGACAAGTCACCTGGGCACACACAAAGGGACACCTGGGGTCACTGGGGCTGCAGCACACACCTGGAGAAGGATGCTGTGAAGGGCTTGTTGCATTCTGTCACCCCTCCCATGGTGACTTTAAGAGCCAGCAGGAGAGAGGGGAGGAGCAGAGAGGGGAAGGGCCTCACTGTACCATGCTGATGGTCACTATTTCATCATAGGCGCGGGAGGACTCCCCAGCAATGGTACCAGCAGCTCTCAGGTTTTCCACCCCAAATCCATTGTCCATCCCAATGATGTCCAGCAGGACATACCTGCAGGGAAAGTGGAGCTGTGGTGCGGGAAGCATTCACCTGCATGATGTGCCTGGCAGGATGATGAGGTGGGAGCTGAATCCTGATGAGTTTAGGGTGGCTCTGTGTGTCTCATGGGATATGGGACTCACCTGGACTCTCCACCTTCCTCCACATGCTCACAGCGCACCGAGTTCATGGCACTGATCCTCGCGTAGTCCTGGGGAGTCAGGTACAGGTACCTGAACCCCTGCAAGGAAAGAAGAGAAGGATGACTTGTGGAGCCCCCCACACACATGCTCACATGGCACATGGTCCTTTCCCAAACCTATCCCAAACCATGCTGTGCAGCAGCTCAGGGACCAGAGCTGGACAGAGCAGCCATGCCAGCACTGACACCTTCACCTCCACCACGTGGGAGAAGCCAAAGGAACCATCCCCACGGTGCTGGGTGCAGGTATGGCCTCAATCCCTGCTCTAATCCCACAACCTGACATCCCACTTTAACTCTGCTCATCCCTTCCCCAGCTGGACCCTCTGCTGTTTCCTGTGCTGCAGGAGGGGAGGTGCCCACACACCTTCAAGGGCTCAGCTGGGTCCACCCAGGCCACCTGGAACATGTGTTTGATCTCCTCAGCGAAGCCGATGCGGGCGCCGCTGTTGGCAGCGATGTAGATGCGGGGGATGCCCTCGGCCCGTGCCAGCTCTGATGCCCTCAGGAACACCAGGTCCTCTTCAGGCCCAAAGGAGCCAATCTTGTGTGTGATGTCATTGCAGATGAGCACAATGTCCCGGCCTTTGGGGTACTCAGGGGTCCTCAGCTTCATTTTGAAAGCAACCATCCCCACCTGCCTCGAAACGCCACAAGGTTACACAGAAGAATCTCCAGAGAGTCAGAGAGTCATTTACAGAATCACAGAATTAACCAGCTCAAAAAGACCTCCAAGATCACTGAGTCCAATGCTTGACTGATCACCACTTTGTCAACTAGACCAGAGCACTAAGTGCCACATCCAAGAGACACAGGGGCTGAGCTGCAGGTGGCATTAACCATCAGACAAAATGGCTGAGGAGCATCTCCCAAGCTTTAAACATAGCCAGATTAAGCCACCAGCCATGCCCACCTGCTTCCTCTGCCCAATTCCAAACAATTCCCTGCTACCTCGTTCCCTCCAGGGACCCTGTTCATCTGCACGAGGTTCCCCTGAGAGTCCAGGACCAGCTCAGTGTAGGTCATGATGTCCTTGGGATACAGGTCCGAGGAGCCCCACAGCTTGAAGAGAGCCTGTGGAGACACAGCATGTTGCTTGGAATGGTTTAGCTTGGAAGAGAACTTAAAGACCATCTAGTTTCAGGAATTCCAAGAGCTAGGAATTGGTTTAGAAATGTTTCATATAACCAAAAATGTTGGAGCTTGGGCTCTTTTTGTTTTCTCATTTGACAGCCTGATGAGAGGGACCTTTTCCTCAGGTGGGAATATTTGGGGAGGGTAGGGATAAGGAGCAGTAATTTGGAGCCTCTTTCTGCTCAGCCAGACTCACCTGCCTGATCATCTCTGGGAAGTCATACACGTAGGTGGTGCCCAAGGACTGTGCCTGGAAGCGCTTGGCCTGAAGCAGGTCCTTGGTGACATAGGGGGTGTTGATGAGCATCCCATGCTGTGGCCCCTGCTTGTCCCCATATGACTGGAACGTGATCTGGAAAGGAGAGAAGAGCATTGGTTGCTTTCCCTGGATGTCATGGTGACTCTTCTTCTGGAGCACTGCTGAGCCCTGCTTGGTCAAGGCGATTTTCCACCCTTTTTTTTTGCTGTTGAGGGGACTGTCACACTGATGTGCTGCCAGTACTAGTGACACTCTAACACTGACCATCACCTCAAGTGCTCAAAACTGCCCAGCTCCACACCAGCATCAACCTAAGGAACCCAAATGGATAAAGCTCAGCACATTTTGAATAAAGCACCACCCCAATTGGATGCAGACAGATGGATGAAACCAACCCAGCTGTGGGAATGCTGTTGGAAGTTTGGGGGCTCTGGGCAGATCAGCACCGCACGTTCACAAGGAGTTTTGCAGAAGCCCCCCTAAAGCTCTGCTGGAGCTGGCAGCACTCAGGCAGCCATGGTTGTGTTCCTGCAGTCACTACTGGGTTACTCACGCTGCCAGTGCCGGGGTCCCTCACTTCCTTGTAGAGGCTGATGTCCAGGTAATATCCGGACTCGTTGGTGAGGAAGAGGCGGATGGGGATGGCGGTGGTGGCAGTGGGCGTCAGGCGGATGTTGATCTTCACCTCAGCCTGCAGCACACGCAGCTTCCAGAGGCGGCTGCCGTAGCGCATCACCATGGAGCGCACCGACTCCTCGATCTGCACAGGGGATGGCACAAAGGGGGGTTGGTGACCTCAGGGACGGCACGGAGCACACAGTGCCATAGCTGGAGCAGCCCTGTTGCATGTCCACCCCAAACAGCCATTTTGGATTTGCTTTGGGTGAGTCCCTTCTGTCTCTTCATGGGCCTGGTGCTGATATCCACCCTCTCCACTGGGGACAGGGAAAGATGGTGGGGGCTGGCTGCCCATCTGTGTAGTGGTCTTGAGCACAGGGCATGACAGAGAAACTTCTCCAGGACAGAGGAAGCAGGATCCCCAAGAAACACACCTTGGACGGGTCCATGATGACGGTGGGCACGAAGTTGAGGAAGATGTGGTTGCAGTCAGTGCGAACAATGGTGTTGTTGAAAGCCACCTCCAGCTCATCCATGGCCTCCAGGAGCAGCCGCTCACCCTCGTTCTGCAGGTACTCGAAGGAAGCCTCCTGTGATGGAGCAGGTGGCTCAGCAGAGGCCAGGCCACCCCCACACCCTCACTGTGCCCCAGGGTGCCACCCTGCCTTGGTGATGAGGTCGGAGTGGCGCACGATGGCGCGGATGAAGAAGCGGTAGTCGGTGGCCTCGGTGCCCGCCTGGACCTTGGCAGCCCCCAGGTACAGGTGCATCTTGTGGTTGGCACAGGGGATGGCCGTCAGGTCGAAGTTGCACATGCGGCTCAGCTCCAGCTGGAAGGCGAGTGCCGGCTCCAGGTGCCGGTAGATCCGATCCTCTGCGAACTGCCGGGCACAGCCGTGAGCCAGGGCCGCACTGGTGCCGCGCTGGCACCGCTCCCACGGGATCTTACCTCATCCCTGGCTCTGAACGTGAAGAACTTTGGGAATTCTCTCTGCAGCAAAAGGGAGAGAGAAGGCAATGTGAATAGGCCTGGCCCACAGAGGATTGTTGATTCTCCATTGATTGATTCTCCATTAAAAAAAAAACTTTGCAGGCTTCGTTCTCTCCCAAAGGGAAAAGGGCTAGGAGGGATTGATTAGATTGGATTTTAGGAAGGAATTGTTCCCTGTGAGGGAGGTGAGCCCTTGGCACAGGCTGTCCAAAGAAGCTGTGGCTGCCTCATCCCTGGAAGTGTCCCAGGCCAGGCTGGAAAGGGCTTGGAGAAACCTGGGACAGTGGAGAGTTCCACCTCATGGCAGGGAGTGGAACAGGATGAACTCTAAGGGCCCTTCTCACCCAAACCACTCTGGGCTTCTACTCTGTGATGGCTTCTAAAGGCAGCTTAAAGCTATGGAGTGGCTCTGCAGGAACCACGTTACTGGAAACATGAGCAGGATAAAGGATCATACAGGAGATAAATCACTCATTGAATTGCTCATTAATTAATTCCCAGCTCCTGAAGCACAGTGGGTCCATCCATCACTCAGAGCTGTGTCTGTAAGGTATTTATAGATGTCAGAATCTGAGCTGCACTCACCTGCTGGGCAATGAGGAACGTGATTCTCCGGAGACCATGTTCAACGAGGATCTTTTTCTACACAGAAACAGAAAATGCCACCAGTTAAGAGAGCTTAAACATCTCCACCAAGGGAGCAAACAAAACCTAAACTGCAGCATTTTGGGGTGCACTGCATGGAGAGGAGGCAATGTCCTTGGGTACAGTGTTCTGGCTTGCAGGGTTTACAAAAAGAGGGTCCAGCCCCAGCAACAAACCTTGGACTGGGCAAAGGCTCTGAAGATGGGCACCAGCTTCTCATCTTCCGCGTGGTCAGCTGAGCAGAGCGCGATGTTGAGGATGTGGATTGGCTCCTCACAGACGTTCTGGCAAAAAAAACCCTAGAGTCAACCCTGACCAGCAGCATCAGTGCTGTCCCAGCACCACCTGGGGACACCAGCAGCAGCTTCATGCCCACCTTGGTGTCCTCCTCATCGTAGGTGGTGGCCTGTGCATCACTGAGGAGCCCACTGTCCGACGAGTTGGAGAAGCACCAGATCACTTCATCAAAGTTCCTGCCCAAACAGCAGAGGTGGGGTCACAAGCCAGCATGTTGTGCCCACCTCCTGCCTGAAGGGACAGCGCCAGGAACCCACTGTGACAGTGTGACAGGGACACAGGTACCAGCACAATGGCCCCACCATCCCACAGCAAACCCACAGCTTAAGAAATGCAGCTCTGGGCTCTGCTGCATTAATGTTCAAATATAAGGTGTGCCATGTAAGCTTTCCCCACGTTCCTCATGTCCCCACAAGGTAAATGTTGTACTGAGAATACCCAGTCTGCAGCTACGCTGGGAACTGGAGCTGCCTCTAACACCACCCAGCTGCCCCCACCTGTGGCTCTTCCACCTCATTTTGCTCTTCAATCACCCAAAATGCACAAACTCTGGCCAGGTGTGTCCCTGCACCCCCACCTTTTGAAGTCCTCAAATCTGCGGAAAGCCACCATGACTCCCATCCTCTGGCTCCCGGGGCAGAAGCCGCTGTCCATGAAGAGCTCAGTGCTGTGCCGGGCCAGGTCAGGGTTGGTGATGCTGACAGGGATGGATATCCTGTCATGGGGAGCAAGTGTCAGCTCTGGGGAAGGCACCGTGTGGGACCACACAGCTCCCATAGGGGACCTTGACCTGGAGAGGGCTCATCCTGCTCCACTGGCAATGGGACAGTGTGGTGGCAGCACCCACTTTGCACAGAGGGGATGATACAAACCCCAAAGCTTTGTGAAAAGAAAAGCTTTGTGTCCAGGGGAGCAAGACAGGTGTGTGGCAGGGACCCCTGTACCTATTGGGGTGGGAGGAGGGCAGCATGAACTGGAACTCCACGAGGCAGGTGCCATCAGAGAGCTGCCGGTGCTGCAGGCTGTGCAGCTCGTAGGCGATGTACCCCCGCCGCACGTACACCTG